AGAAACACTGTACATTGGTCTCTATGAAGAGAAAGAGTCAGGGGCTGTAGTGGTGATATCACACCTAGAGTGGTGAGGCTGTTGGATTTGTCTCAACAATTCTCTCTAACTCGTCCTCATGAATAGTTTTCACTCCTTTTACATAAGTTTTTCACTGAATTGTAGACACATTCATGCTCTTCCTGACAATAGAACTGTGGAAGCAAATGGATTCACAGAAGATGCACAGTGAGCCACAGAGACACGAGTGCCAACCAACTGTCACATTGACTCCTGTGTAAACAGTGTTAGGCAGGTGGTCACAATGTTGTGTCTGATTGGTGTATATGATGGACATGGTTTCACCATTCCCTCCACTATGCAAAAGTGAAGCCAAAATATCATGAATACGGTGGCTGCCATATTTTTTGCAGCCAGATTGTGCACAGTAGCAGCCAGAAGTAGAATGACAGCATCAGACTGCCAGTCGCAGCTGTCAAAACAACCCAAATACACCTGTTTTTATACGATTGAATAACTTCTTAAAAACAAACTTACCAGAAGAATGACTACTTGTACACACATCAATGTGATAATATATACCAAAATCCACAGAAGTGACCTTTGGGAAAATTTATTTGATATGTACCTTGAGTTTTTAGTGTGGCCATGTCCCATCCACTAACATGGTTGGAATGGGATTTTGCAACCAGTCATCGAGTTTTGGTGGCTTCACTTCTGGGACCTCTTAGCTTGTTCATTGTTCTTAAGGTTGATGGTTCAAGTGGAGAAAAATATGTCGTCTGTATGTTTTTAGGTTCTCAGTCTCTTTGTGTGTGTGTGTGTGTGTGTGTGTGTGTGTGTGTGTGTGTGTGTGTGTTAACTAACGTAACAAGCTGAGTCCAGTGGAGTTGCAGCAGTTTGCAGTGCTGCTGAGAGAATACCGACTGGGATCAAACATTGAACACTTCTGCTCCGATCTGCTGCAACTGTATGGAGACAACCGCAAGTTCCTGCTCCTGGGTGAGAGTCATAAAAACAAACAGAGAGAGAGAGAGAGCACTCATTAATTGAGTGAAACTCTGTGTGAAACCACAATGTACTATTTATACTGTTTTGTGGTACTATGGCAGTAAAACAAAACTGAGTTTGTCTGAACTGCACATTAACTTGTCACCTGTCTCTCTAAGTGTGTATATTGTTGTACTGTGTTGTATGTGTGATCGTCTTTAGTTTGTGTTTATGAAAACAAATTCTGACCCACTTCTACTGAGGAAACCACAGCTTCCTCTTTCAGCCCTGTGAGCTGGTGGATAATCTTCATTATCAAAGGTTTGGCTGAGAAAGTGGAAGAAATCAGACAAACACCAAACTGTGTGAGAAGTTCTGAAGCACACGGACTGAATATGAACTTTAAATGTCCTTTGCTGTCTTTCTTTAATATTGCTTCATGTTAAGGTAAAACAGGCTGTATTTTTAGGACCTCAGTGAGAAGGGCTTCAAGTTTTTTTGTTTTTAACAGCTAAATGCTTCTCTCCTTGTTATTTCTTTCGTTTATGTGGTAGCTGGAGTGGGCAGTTTAACTGTATGCACATGTAGGGCCTGCTCTATTATCTGCACCTGTCAAAAAAAGTGGTTACACTGTAGCCTTATCATTGACTCTCCGAGTCTGAGCGCTACTGGAGGGATGACACCATTCTTCCAAAAGATGCTCCCTCGTGTGATGTTTTGATGATGGTGGTGGAGACGCTGTCTAACACAACATCTCCCATAGGTGTTCAGCTGGTTTGAGATCTGGTGATTTGTTCAGGTGTTCCATTAATTTGTCACCTGTCTGTAGAGATGACTGCTGCAGGGCACCAAAGGCAGCACTGCAGCACTTTAGAAAACTGCTGCAAGGCACCAAAGGCAGCACTGCAGCACTTTTCAAAGGGCTCAAACACATGAGCATAACTCTCCATAAAATTTGTAAAACTCTACTTCTCATAGCTAAAAGGATCATTTTGTCAGTATACTATTAATTCAACTTATTAGCCTTTATAGATAGTTTGTGCCTCACACAATCATAATGAGTTTGCCTAATTTCCTACCTGCACAATTACAGTTTTCATGGCATACACATCACGTTGTTTTTTTTACCAAGCAGCAGTCTGACCACTTCGCGCGGTCCAGATTAAAATGGGGTGTGTCTAGGTAAATTTTGGGTGTGTTGATAATATGAGGGCAGACAAAGTGACTGCGCCACTGACCAGGAAAACCCAGGTCTGTCAGATCATCATTACTAGTTAATGAGCACTTTGGCTGTGTTGTGATGCACACCTGTCTAGGTGTGTGCACAATGCTCATATACTGTGTTTGTTATACCATGGGATGTGATGCTCAGGACATGCAAAATTTAAAAAATTAAAAGATGACATTGCACAACACCCTGTGAACAGACCCTGAACTTTCTTGCTGTGAGACAACAGTGCTAACCACTGCTCCAAAAGAAAATCTTTCTTGTAATGATTGTACTTTCTAGCCTTTTTATCTTCTATGAAGGAACTACCCAAACACAATGCTGTACAAAAATTGTTGGTTTTAATTCATAAACCTGTTGTTTCTCAGGCATGCGTCCCTTCATCCCAGACAAGGACGTTGGGGTGTTTGAGAATTTTCTGGAGAGTATTGGGATCCGAGAGGGCGGGATTTTAACTGACAGCTTTGGACGCATCAAACGCAGCATGAGCAACACATCAGCTACGGCCATGAGAGGGTACGTACAGTACGTCGAGTAGTGCAGTGCACATGTTGACTTCAGGTCACTTTGATGCTTGGTTTTAAAGCTCAGAGCTAATTAGTCTGTAAAATTTGTTTATTGTACATAACACACTGTTGTCTCCAGGCCATTATATATCTTATTGATATGGTACATTTTGTTGATTTTTAACTAAATTGAGGAGCATCAATCTGTGGTCCATGTGCTGCAGTAACGCTGTCTTCATATCAAAGAAAAAATGCATTACTTTGACAGAGCAGTTTGATTTAGTCATATGGGATCTATTTTTTAATCTATGAATTTTAAATCAACAATTAAAAGTCCAAAAATAGTTTTAAATGAAGTCGATTAAACCATAGTAATAATTTCAACATTTATTCCCTTTGAATGTCAGCATGCATTCACACACAAGACTGGTATGCTTGCCACTTTGGTTAACATTGCTGTGTTCTCCCAGGGGCATCTTCTCCATAACAGTTTCATTTTATATGAGAAAATATCAGATTCTTACAATTTGAACATGAAATCCTATAAGAAGTGGTGAATATTTATTGTAACAGGTCAGTTAAAACAATACTTTTGGCTCAATTTGGGTGTGAGATTATGTCCAGTTAAGATACTGTACAGTTACCATAGTTTTTATTCACCTGGGGCGTGAATACCTCTAAACTGCTTAAAAAGGCCCAGCAGAGACTTTACTTCCTACGGGTGCTCAGGAAGAACAACATCTCCCATCAGTGCTCCACTGGGAGCATCCTTACATACTGTATATGTGTATGGTACAGCAGCAGCACAGTGGCTCAGAGGAAAAGGCTCCAGAGGGTCATTAATAAGGCCCAGGAGATCGCCGGCTGCCTTCTCCTCACTCTGGAAGAACTACAGAGTTCCCGCTGCCTCAAAAAAAGCTCAGAACATCATCAAGGACACTTTACACCCAGGATGTTCACTCTTTGAACTACCGAAAACCAGTCCTGTTTCAGTTCACATGGTCCACTTTTTGTAAATACAAAAATACAATCGTTTTTTTTTAGTATTACTAATTACTAATTTCCTGTAAAACAGACAGATGAGAGGTAGCATTTAGATAAATGGCATGTTTTCCCAGCAGGTATGACAACTGCTCCCTGGCCTCAGGATCTCAGGAATTCAACCGACGCATCACTGACATCACCCATGACATCCAGGCACTCGGCTTCCAGGACACACATGGAGACATTGAGGAGGAAGACTACTATCTCTGATGGAGGGCAAAGAGAAAACGAGAGAAAGTAAGAGTAAGAAAATGATCCTGTAAGACCAAATATGAAAATTCAAAGAAATTATTAAAGAACAGTTATGATTCATTTTCAGAGTATTATACAATAGATGCACAATTAGACAATACAAATGTTATTGTAATTTGTTTTAAAAATGAATCACTGCTACTACAATGAAAACTAATACTATCACCACTGACAAATGTATTTGTGTGTATGTATTTTGTTCATATAAAAACTTAGCCCGAGTGAACTAGAATTTTCTTCTTGTGACTCTTATTTAAAACAAAAATGAATAAAACTTTACTCTGGTCATCATTATAAAATACATAAAAAGGAAAGCTAGACATTTCCAGCAGGGGCAGTAGAGCTTTTTGTTCCAGGCTTCATGACCCTTATTGATGATGCAAAGCTTTTCCTTTTTGGAAGACAGCTTGTTGCTTGGGTTCACTGCAGCACACTGTGGCTCCTTCTTATATTGCTTCTGAAAGTCAAAGGTCATGAGTCGTGAATCTGGGAATTCAAAATGACTGTTTTTCTCAGTGGCTTTTGTACATTTCTCAGATCAGAAATGAAAATCTCTAAACTTGTTGTTCAACATCCACATCATCCAGTCATTTGTGCACATTATTTAAATGTTTTCACATTGTTTTTAACTGATTGCAAATGCTTTGGCATGTTCATGCAGCTGATCATGTTCAATTGTCTGTTGTTTTCTACATTATCAGTTGCTTATGTCATGTTGATCAAAATGTATTATACTATGTGTTATCTGTTGAATAGTCTGATCTTCCACAACATTTAGGCATTAGTTCATTTAAGATGTCATTAAATGCCAAATGGGGGAACTAGTTGTATTTGTCAAGCATAGTTCTATACAGCTCTGTTAGACTTTTTTGCAACTTTGTCAGAATTTTTGAATTGCTCTAAAGTGAATCTTGATTTTCACTAATGAAGGGGATTGTGTGAAGCACAAGATTAACCAATGATCTGCCAGTTCTCTACTGTAAAATAGCTTAGAGGTGCATCTCATGAGCCTTCAACTGGTAAGCATATATATATATATATGTGTGTGTGTGTGTGTGTGTGTGTGTGTGTGTAGAAAGAGCACAACACAATGTTACAGCTTCTGACAATGAAAGAACAAGGAAATGAATAGTATCAACTGCTGGGGAGAAGACGAAGAAGAAGAAGAGGGCTGCATGGTGGAAGGGTACGGAGGTGAAACAGAGCAAGGGAGAGAAAGGGCCAAACACATACAGTAAGCATGTTCCCAATGAAATATGGTCCATACTTGTTGACCACATTGTCATTCATGGCCTTACAAAGGCTGAGGCTGGTTGAATGTTGGGAGAACAACTGTTCTGTCCAGGGACGTTTCTTCTGTTTACATTTCTAATGTTGCATTTTTTTTCCCTTTGTGCTATGCAGCGATGTAAAAGTCTTTATTTTCTGTATCGCAATAACATCGCTGTAAATCAGTAAAAGTGTAATTGCAAATACTGTCCAATCTCCCACATAGACTCACCACCCACTTTATTAGGTCCAATTGTACAATTGCACGCACTTCAATGCAACATTCCCACCTTAACATTGGTGTTTATGAAGCTCAGAATGTTTCAGTTTTTGGTGAAATTGTCATAAATTCAATTATATGTTTATTATTGAAGTCATAATTAAAGGTGATGTACTGGACTACATTATATTCAGAGTTGTATTTATATTTTTGTCCTCTCCAGCTACATATACTGTATGAGAGTATCAAGAGGTTCATAAAACATACGTACAAAAGTTTTTGTTAATCATTATATATCATTATAAAGGGGTCCTGTGTGTAAAAGTCTGTATCCCTAAATTTATATAAAACAAAGGCATCAATATTGTACAAAGCTGCTGTGTGGTAGCATTTACTCATTTACTGAAGGGATTGTAATACCTACCAGTGACCACATGGTGGCAACTGAGGCTAGATAGATAGATAGATAGATAGATAGATAGATAGATAAACAGAGAGATAAAAAAAATGATTAGATGTACTATATTGTAGTTTAACAAGTAAATGCAACGGTAAGGCACCATAAATACAAAATTATCCTTTCTTTCTGTGCATGTCTCTCCTGCATTGACCTGTTATCCTGGCCCCAGCATCGTGACCTTCCCATGGTGCACTGCTTCTCTCCCCTCTGGTCCACCCATGCCAGCCTCACTGAGCATCAGAGATGGAGAGAATCAGTGAAGCCATAGGCTTCACCCGAGTCATGTTAGGCCCCTCACCCTCATTATGTAATACAACAACACTGAGCACACTCTCTTTATCAGCAGTGATATATATTATTGTAATCAATCTAAAAGGTTCATTTTCATTTCTTGACATAGTACACAGGAACTGCAAACACACTGCATTGTACAAATTTTTTAAAATAGTTATTTCACCTGGACATATGCATGGAGACACCTGTGTAGAATTAGAGAGTGAGAGGTCAAATTTTCAGGTGAATTATGTCTGGGTACATTGCAGGCAGTGATTGTTCTACAGCTTCCAGAGGTCAAAGGTCATGAGTTCATACATTAAATGATACCAGGAAATGCATGTTCAGATCTGCTATCAGGACAGAAGATGAACTCTGAGGTCATTTCTGTCAGGTTGACTGTAGTTCCTGGGCTGTGTGTGTGTGGTTGTTTGTCTCCATGTCAGCTCTGTGATAGAATGGTGACCTGTCCAGGGTGTACCTGGATGGATGGATGCTACCAGCCAGTAGTGTCCTCATGCTTTTCCCACATCCTGTAGCACAGCACTTTACATTACACTTTAGTGCAAAGCTCTATTATAAGAAATTGCATCATGAAAATTAAAAGAAAATTCATTTACACTGAGATCAAATGAAATCTAATGATATCAGTTTTGGAAATCCATCGTCTTGTTGTTCCAGCTGAGCTGGTAGATCAATTGTAGATCATTTGTTGTCCTCCAGATGTCAGGGATCAGGGTGAGCGCACAATCCCTAGTTAGCAGAGATTACAGAGTGGTGTGTCCTACTGATTATATTTAGCAGACTACACAGTGTGGTCACTCTGCTGAGCCGACTGCATTCACACAGCTTGAGTCTCAGTCTAAGTCTTGTTTCTAGCATGTGTATGTATGATATAGCCAAAATGTCACTTTTTTACATGGGCAAGACAAGAGATATATGACAATGTTTGGAGATGTTTTGAGCCAATGTTAAAGAACGGTGTTGGGGCCAATGCAGGCAAGGATTAACACTAGCTAATATAATGCCAATCAAATTCTTATTCTTGCTTACTTTCACTCTACTGCTCTAAACCACTCTGCTGTTGTGAACCACAGGTTCTCTACTACTCTCAACACAGTGCTTGTTAAATACTGTCTATGTGCAACAGAACTTTCCCTCCAATAATGGAGACAGTATGAGCAATTCACCAAACGTGTGTTGAACAAGCAAACCACACACTTGCAGAAATGTGGCCTCTACACTATACTGTGAATCTCTTTTTCATCCTTAAACCAATATATTACACCTTTTCCACTGTAAAATCTTATTGATCTGTAACAGAACTTGTACCCCTTGTCCTGGGTTCTGCTTTTGTTTTCTCGGCCCTCTGCCCCCTTAGGAAACAAGTGCCAGGAGCTTAATTTTGGCATCCTTCAAGTTCAAGGTACTCCAGGGTGAAGAGGTTTCGGTGCTCACGTAGCTGTCACCTGCAATTGGTTAAAGCTTTTCTGCCTAATTTCTTTTCACTCACTAGAGGGTCTAGTGAGACTCAAAACAAACTGGCACTATAAGCCACTGCTAACTGCTCCTCGCCACACCCATTACATCCTGTTTCCTAGCAACAGTGTAAACTATGGATGTCTGGTTGTGACAAATTGTACAAAGTGCAGCCTCCAGTCAGAAGCTAGCGTTAGTTGATTAACGAATAAATTTGCTGCTTTTAGCACTCTCTATCTTAAGAAGCCAAACCACTGTCAAACCTGGTTGTTGCTTTTTCTTTGTCCCAATGCTGCTGTCCACTATAGTGATGCGTCAACACAACTGTCATGTTGGAATGGCAATGCTGTCAGGTTTGCCCGGCTGCACCTACTTTCTCACTCCCCTCACTCTGTTTTCACTCCCTTACCCTGATTACGTTATTCTTTACACCTGCTTCATATCCCCTGATTACCACCAGCTGCACCTGATTAGTTTCTCCCTATTTAGTCCCTGCTCTTCGTTTGCTCCCTTGCCAGTTCTTTCTAGCATTTCTCAGGCCCGTTTGTTCCCCGTCGTTCTTTTGATCTGTATTAGTATTTTTTGTCTCCTTCTCTCCAGCTGCTTAGATTCATTCCCTCCTCGCCTCAGTCGCTCCTTCGGACCACGGACCTCCTCCACTCTGATTCATCACCACCCTGCAGGTCGATGCAGTCTACTACTTACCGTATGTACTATTTCTGTTCATCTTCAGAACCATCCCACTCGACCAGTCCAGGAGTGAATCCCAGTGTCCACAGCCCGGTCCTCTTCTCATCATCTCCACCATTGACTGTGTTACCCTCCGAAGCTTGACACCCGGTCCCCATTACTACTCTACTGTTCATTTCTTGTCACTTATAATTTAACACTGTAAATAAACTAGCACTGCCTGCATCGAAGTCAGTCACCTGGGTCCGTCAATTTTTTGTGACTCGCTCACTTCTGTGTTCGAGCCATCCTAACAATGACAGGAGTTAAAGCTACAGTAACTAAGATTTAGCACAAATGTGGATAAATCAAGTGCAAAATTGTCTAGAGGTGTGCACTGCACTTCTTCCACGCCCCGTTGATCCAAAGTTATAAAATGCATTTTTCAAACCAGTATGGGTCATTTCAAAGACAGACCATGAACGCACCATGTGCAGGTACAACCCAGGATGGGAGCGGATCTGTTAGACCCAAGAGGCTGCATTCTGTAGCACAGAAAGAGTGCGACAAAGGACAAGGAAAAACCAGAGTTAACATTGGTTTGGCATGTCACAAATGGAAAATTTGTGCATTTTATTTGTCACTTTGTGCATACAACTCTGCATTTTCAGTGTTTTTGCAGAGTTGCCTCATGGATTTAAACCTTTAAAGTCATTGTAGCCCTTAGACAGAAGCTGTCATTCTTCTGGGGTGACAGACTGCACTCCTTCTTTGGACATTTACACGTAGCCAATGTGAAACAAACCGATCATAGATTTAACTGTCAATATTTAAAGTATAGTCAATGACCACTAGAGCATGCACTTGCATTTCCAATCCACAACTCAGTTGGTGGTTATAGAACTGAAATGTCTGGATAACCTTAGCCAGCATTAGAAAAACCACTATTACTCATTTGATCTTGGATCTGTTTAGTGACATACTGTATGAAGAATACCCCAGTACTCACAGCAAGCCCTGTGTTTGTTCCCCTCTGTATAACAACCTAACATTAGCTGCCTGCCTGATGATGATATGCTACAATATCTGGACAGCCTTACTAGATCGCACTAACACAAAAATATTTTGTACCCATCAAAAAAGATTTTGAAATATTGATAAATAACAGAGGGTTCTAACTGAGCAAACTTACTGTGCCAAACATGAATTTCTTGATCATGCATAGAATGAGGTAAGCCCAGAAGAGGTGCAGACAGAGGAGGACAACCAGCATTACATTGAAGAAGTAGTAGCCAAAGAAGGCAGGGTAGTGTTGAACAGGGTAAACCCAGGTACAGTGGATCAGCCTGAAACATGAGCAGAATAAAGACAAATGAAAATGTCTAATATCTAGGGTTCAGACCTATGTCCTGCATAATTAGATTATGATTTGGTAGGGACCAACCATAAAAACCTTGCCTACCTCCAAACAGCAATAAGACTCAACCCCAGACAAGCTAGATGGGCTTTGTTTTTCAATTGTTTTCGGTTTACCCTCTCTTATCGGCCGGGGTCTCGTAATCAGAAACCCGATGCCCTGGTCTACTACTTACCGTATGTACAATTTCTGTTCCTCTTCAGTACCATCCAACTCGACCAGTCCAGGAGTGAATCCCAGTGTCCGCAGCCCGGTCCTCTTCTCATCATCTCCACCATTGACTGTGTTACCCTTCGAAGCTCGACACCCGGTCCCATTGTTCCTTTACTGTTCATTTCTTGTCACTTATTTAACACTGTAAATAAACTAGCACTGCCTGCATCGAAGTCAGCCACCTGGGTCCGTCAGTTTTTGTGACTCGCTCACTTCTGTGTTCGAGCCATCCTAACAAATGCTGTACCTTCTAATGCATGTACGTGTATGTGTTCAGAATTAACAGAACCATAAGTCGCTGAAATTACAGCAGATTTTGTAGCTCTTTGGTTTATTACACATCCCAGACATGTATTTATGATACTGGATAAATTAAAAATGCTGATTTTCATATTAAAACACTTCATCTTTTGAATCTTGTAACAAAAATATTATTTATTTATTAGCACCATGAAAGTTTCAACACTTTAAAACACTTTAAGGCTAATTAGTAACTCATACACTGACATAGCTGATAAAGCTTACTTTTAAAATATCTTTAAACAAAGTATTTTTCTTCACCTGATAGTTATGTTATCTTAGTATTAAAATTTTTGTGAAATGTTAATCTCTGTTGCTTAGTTTTGGCTGTACCATTAAAGTAGCACAAACATCTGGTGTTTTTTATTATGTGAACTGGCCAGAATGGCCAGAGTGACTGACACAATATGGTGGTGAATGTGATGCACCTTGTGAGGAAAGTTTTTATTTTGAAAAGAAAAGACTATCCATCCATCCATCCATTTTCCAAACCGCTTAGTCCCAAACGGGGTCACAGGGGGCTGGAGCCAATCCCAGCCAGCTGCGGGCGAAAGGCGGGGTACACCCTGGACAGGTCGCCAGCAACTATATGCAACTATATAAACATAAACACAACTGTCAGATTAAAGTATATAGACTTATGTATGCTATATCATAAAAACCCTAACTAATTATATTCATTTCTATCTAAAAGTGAAAATCACCCTAACAACCTCATAAGCCCTGATACGGTATCTATGTGAAATGTACAGTATATATCTATGGGGCAAAGCACTAAAGACTTCACATTTATACAAGTTGGAGTTCTGCTTGTTCAACATCTGTGTGATCAACTTCTCATACAGTTTTCCTTACAGTTTTGTTGCACAAACACTGTGGTCCTTGACTTGATGCCCTCTGCTCAGCTTTGTAGACAGGAGCTCAGCCCCACCCCTGTATAAACAGTGACTGACACAAAGAAAAAATACAGTGGAAAAACAAAGCGGAACTGACCACAACAGCCCTTCAACTTCTGCCAGATTATGCTCTAGGTTTGTTAAACCTTTGTGGTGGAAAAATATTATGCGTGAGTTTACACGGTCATACATACAGTATATTGTTATGCTAAATGTTACGAACAAAGGGTTTGGTACAATTATGAAAATTTGTTACATTTTTATAGATGTGTTTTGGGACTGTGAGTGTTTGTGCACATTGCTGGGTGGATCAAAAAATTTTAAATACTGTAAGTGTCTGCAAGTCTGTATGTAAAAACGGTATGCGGGTGTAGAGCCATAGGCTACATCGCAAAGCTGTGAGTTTGCAACCATACATTGCATAACTGGTGTAATATTTCTTCACAGTACAGTATATAATAATACTTAAATCTCTTTGAAACTCCTTCCAGAGGTAGGAAGGTGTTTAATGCATTAGTTTAAAACAGTTAAGGTAGTACAAAGAGAAAAAATCATTCTCTATAACTATATTAAGCTGCATAGTCTAGCTGTGTCTTATATATAACACTTGAATAAGAACTTGAAACTTGAATAAAAATAGGCCTAATACATCTAGCTGTGTCAGTAGTAACAATAATTAGCCTAGACATTGTACCCTACCCTACCCTACCCTATCCTACCCTATTTCTAACAGTACAGTTCATAACAGAGGGCCACGCCCCTCTCTGAAGGCTCTGGCGCCAACGTCCTTACGTTTTACCGGCTGGGCCAATGAGATCGCAGCAGGGCGTATAGCAGTCTCGCACCGGGTAAAAGGGATTTGACAGTTGCAAGTCTGGGATTAATCCGTCAGTCGACTTCTTCTGTGGGACCGCTACCATGGCGGCAGCGGCTGCTTGCGGCCAACATAATGCCGCAATAGCAGCTGGGGTTTCCGGGAAAAAAACGCATGCTAATAGGGAGCAAACCCGGAGGAACCGTGAGAGCTCTCGTCGGAGACAAGCTGCACTTTTGTTTCTCAGTAACATCTCCCTGGACGGACGGCCAATACTGAGTAACTCAGCCGAGAGTGGAGTAAGCCGCCACCACAAAGACACCGACTTGGAGGGAGCCGACTCCTTCCCTACGGTGGCGGCAGCGGCCGGGTTGTGCCCGGAGATAGGTAGGAGTGGCAGCTGTGGGACATTCTCCAGTTTATCATTGTCCGTGAACTCCGGGAACGTCAGTGCCTCTCCGGTACCGAGGACAGGACTCCTCAATGTACCGTCTATCCTCGTCCTGCCATCGGACACGGGCTTCAGCGGTGCAGAGGGCGCGGAGATGCTGCTGGAGTGCCGCAGAGGCTCGGTCCCTTCGCCGGGGAACAGTAACCTGCTCTCGGCGTCCCCGTCCAACACCAGTCTGCTACCGTCGCCACTGGGGCCGCGGAAGTCTTCCACGCTGCTGTCAGTTCAGAGCTGTAACTCGGCGTCCCCAGAGCCGCGCCAAAGGTGAGAGAAACGCGGCTGTTTATGTTTTTTATCGGGTGAGCATGCGTGTCATTGGAACAGTTTTATAAAAGACAACCCTTTATTTATGTAGCTGGTACCCCCTTGAAACACCACGGATAGCTTGAAGGTCTCAACGTTACCTTAAAGTTGAGGGAGATCGTTGCCATTGGCCCAACTTGTCCACAGATGGAGTGTACCTGGGCTGTCTGGTCCAGTTTAACCCTGGTTATTCACTGTCTGTTCCCGAGCCGGAGCACGGTTTAACAAGGGGTGCAATGCTGTAAGCTCCCGGTTCTCAGTCACCGGTGTGGTCCCAGTGACTCCCCAGTTTTATTGCACTGTCCTTCCATTCACTTAAAGGAAGTTTAGCCCCGTGTCACTGATGCAGCGCCTCATTCACTGTTACTGTTTCCTCCTTCCCTGAAAGTAAGACTGAACTCTCATATTTACAATAATGTCTCACATGCTCAGGTGAGGGTTCCTCACAACAAGATCTTATAAGTTACATGACTCATGTCAGTTGGCTTGGGAGATGGGCATCATTTAGTTCAGCACCAATATTAAGTGGTTTTATCAGGTACTGATTATAAACCACAGACACAGAAACCAACACATCATAAACCAACAGGCTTTAGCTTTTAGATGGCCTAACTGTTGCAGATTATAGTATTTTCTGTATTCTAGCACATCTCATTTTAATCAGTCTTCTTAATCTTATTGTACTTTGTATTTAGACAAAAACCAACCAGAAGTTATTTTCATACTTTTTTGATGAGTTTATAAAATGTCAAACAAAAAAAATCTTTGTTCTCAGAGCCCTCAGGTGACAAATCACTTTAGTCCAACCAACTGTGCAGCACCCACAGATAACCAGTTTTCAATGATAAACAGCAGAGAGAAGCAAGTCTTCACATTTGAGACGCTGGAGCTGGAGAACGTGTTTTATGCTTGATAACTGATAAGCTGTTCATTTATTAAATTAGTTAAATTCCTTTTCTGTTAACGGAGTTTTTGAAGTTCTTCTTTGAGTCTTGTTTACTTATTTAGATTAGATATTTGAAGTGTCCTTTTTTTTAAGTTTCAACTTTATAGTATACTTAGTTTATGTGATGGTCATCTGTGTTTGTAAAAAGGCATTAAACATGAATGCATCTGAGAACTTAGAGATTACTTACACAATACTTGGGCCCTCACAACGACCGGGGTGCATTGTGCTGCATGAATGCGTCCTTTTTCCAAACAGCATAGAGTTTAATTAATTTTAGAGTTTGAAAATAGAGTCAGAGTTTGATACCATCTTCAATCTGACTCTAGCATCAAATTAGTGATGGAATGAACTTTAACAGAATTATTTTTTTAATGGAAAAAGCCATGCTCACCAGACTGAAACTGAAAAGCTGCTGTTTTGTGGACTGATTTATTAAATATTATTTTAAAAGAATAAATTCATATTTTAAATATTTGCTCTTTTGACTCATTTTAAAGTTGAATAGGAAACACAAGTTTGAAAGGAGTAGCCAGCTGGTGTGGAGAGGCTGGTGGCTTTGTAGAGAGGAAGTGAACCCAGGGACGGGTAAAAACCACTAACAGTCAAAGTCATGCTGTAGCACTATAACCTAGAATCATTCTCAGTTAGACACTTGTTGTTATAATTTAGGTTTGGATTTTCTCTGGTCAGTGAAGGAGAAACAGAAACGGACTGGATGGGAGCAGAAAGATGAAGCAGCAAAAGAACTGAGGAAAAAGATTCATTTCTTAATACTGACTTTGTCAGTGTAGTTTTGTAATGATGTGAGTGCCAGCCATGTGTGTGTTTATGAAGGATGCCGATCTGGCTGTGGTTGAGACGTGTGTCTGTCTGTCTGTGCGTGTGTTCTTGTACTTGCTACATAGTGAGGACATTTTGGCCGATCCTCACTTTGTGAAACACCTTTTTGAAGGTAAAGACTTGGTTTTAGGGCAGTTTGGCTAGGGGAAGGGTTGGGGTTAGGCATTTAGTTCTGATGGTTAAGTGTTGGGGTAAGGGGCTAGGGAATGCATTATGCCAGTGTCCCACAAAGACAGAACTAAAAGTGTGTGTATGTGTGTGTGAATGCTGGTGGACAGATCAGCTTCGTCACCATGCTGGCAGTGTATCAAGCCCAGAGAAGATCAGCCATGCAGCGATAAACACTGCTTAACCCCTTTACATCTCACAAGAGGCTGGGAAATTACCAGCAGATAACAGCACATCAGTCAGACTGTTGCATCAGCCCCCACCTGTCATCTGCTGCTTCTGCTGTATGACTTGATTTTATTTATCTACAGTGATGCTACACATTGTATAATACATAATACATTCATTGTATTTAATGCCGTGAAGGTTGTGGCTAATGTTACTAATGCAAAGTATAATCTACACATGAAGTATTGGATTGGGACAGGCAGACTTTGGAGTTTGAGGTTCAGGGCTCCAGTCTGTGAGTGATCACTTGCATTTTGTGACCAAATTTATTTAAGGAGAAACGGACTTTTCAAAGGTCACACAGGGTGCAACAGCAAAATCAACAGGTTATGCACTAGTGACTGCTGTCACTGTATAGAGGGTGGACAGCCGTAACAATCTCCATGATTGCTATAGACCTGTTCCCTAAATGTTTTTCCCATTTACTGTGTCCATAAGTTTCTCTTGCTCGGAATTTCATTATCAATACAGGCTATGCACATTGGTTGGTAAGATTATTTAAAATAATTGGCAGAAAATAGATTACTTTGTGTTATGATGTAAAACAGAGATGGTGCCACCATTTGAGAGAGACTTGGTGGCACCAGTGCTGCCAGTATTAAATGTTAGTCTGGAGCCCTGAGTTTAAACAAAACCCCAAAGATATTCAATTTACAATGATGTACAGCAGAAAAAAGAGGATATCCTCACATCTGTAAGGTGAAAGGAGGAAGCTGGAACCAGATCATTTTTGGCATTGTCAGGTCAAGGTACAGTATATCAGGTTTTTACAAAGATTCCCTAAAAATTAGACGGAACAATACAGGATTTATAATTCTGGCACCAGTTTTAGTTGGATATTAAAAACAATCTAGACATGCAACTAGTGATTATTATTTGGCCTAACCTTAGAGATTTAGGTTTTAGCATCACAGATGACAAAGAAAAGCAGCAGATGTTCAGTGCTGACAAACTGGAATCAGTAACTTTAAGGCATGGAGGATAAATTATCAACTTCTGATTAAATTTTTGTTGATCAAATAATTGACTGTAATAAAAAAAAAAAAAAAAAAAAAAAATCTTAGAAATTACAGATTCATTGGTTGAGTTTCACATATAATATACGTCTTGAATGTTGTTAAAACTGTACTGAATCAGATATATTCCTTAAGTCCTGCATGTAGCATTAGGTCTGTTTCCCATAATTAAGGCCACGTTTCCTATGAGTTCTGTTTGTCCCAAATGTTTTCCATTGATCTTTAGTTGCTTTCCTCATTTGTCATCTTTGGAAAATCCTAAAACACCAGCTCTGTTTGCTGTTGAAGAACAACACCTCCTGACTTTGCTGCAAAGCACAGGGCTGTTAATGACGTCTCTAAATGAGCAGTAATTATTTATTCATGATAAAATTATTTTTATCCTTCGGCAGCAGCATCGTTTGCACAAACCCAGCCCTGGGAAGTTTCAGAAGTTTCATCAGATTTGTGCTAATCTAGCTGGTTGGTTAAAGTGTGAAAGTGTGTTGGGGCTAAAGCAGTTGCTGTTGTGCTGTCTGAGTCTGAAGTGGCAGAAGAAGAGGCAGCCTTCTCCTCACTTAGACACTTCCTGGTGTGATGAAGTTGGCTGTCGTCAGATGCCATCAGTCACGCTCCGGTTAGCCTCTGTCTGTTAACAAGGCTCAGTGTGTGAAGTTGTGCAAGACAGCAAACCAGCCAGCCAACCACTTCATTAGCCTGCTGAGTGAAAACACACTCACGCATGACACACTAAACAGTTTAGCTGTTTAACCAAGGCTGTTATCGTACATCTAGTGGGCGAGGACACTTGGCTGGTAATGAAGGCTATGCACACAGGCTACTGAAGGGACTGAGATCATGTTTACATTAAGGTGGCTAAAATCTAAAACACGGTTTTTGTCCCAGAACAACAGGGTGTTTCAGCTTGTTTCTGAATTTACCTCAGTCCACATTAAAACACCAAAATGGGTAATTCTCCTCTTACTGTGCATGAAAAGCTAATTTAGCATCAATTCTAAGGCTGCTTAGTTTACAGTCAGTCTGATAAATAATGGTTTCATGCTAGAACATGTGAGAGAGAATGAGTAAAAAAAAAACAAGAGAGTTCACAGTTCTGCAGACACACAACTCTGGTCAGCCAGAGTTACCTTTTGAGTGATAGGAGTGGGTGTTCTCTAAAGCTGACAGTAAATATGCCAGATGGGATGTAAACTGGACCCTGGAGCTTCTTTCACTATTTATATAATTACTATTTAGCTAACACTGAGATGGTGTGTGACACCCTAATAACAGCTCATTAGCTAAGGTGTTGGCTTCTGGTAGCAGCCTTAGTGCTACAGTTAGCCAGCTGCTAATAACACCCGCTCCCGGTCTTCTGTTGATTAGGCAGAAAGGCCCAATATCAACAGTGTATATACTATAATTTATATCATTTTAAATGAAATATCTTTAGGAAAAAGATTAGTGTTTTTGTTATTTTCCACAAATGTCTGTCATTCCAAAATTTCCAATACCGATACAGTGTTTCCCCTTGGAGATGTTTCAGGCATGGTGGCAAGATGATGATGGTTTTGCATGCACGTGCTAAAATTTCTTGTTATTCATTTCTCACTCGACACCAGACTTTTGGTTGGTAATTTCTATGTAAAGGTCACATAAAACAAGGAGAGTATTAATAAGACATATTTATTGCACACAAATAATCGTCAAAGCTACCAGTTACTTTACAATCAAAGAAGTCAGAACAATCAATCTTTAATATAAATGAATAAAAAGATAAT